AATGTCTCATAACTTTTCTTAAATTAAGTAATGAGCATTACTCTTATTTCACATGAGATTGTATCACACTCCCAAGTATTTTACTATACATCAATCATCATCATCATTATTATTATTGTTGTTGTTTCATATAAGTTGTTCTAATTAATAACAAATCCTTGACGTACATACTGCAGCACTTTAAAAGGATTCCAGCACATTCTGTCCTAAACCTGCGTGAATTCTGATGGAGAATTAAAGGCCTTACCTTCTCTTTGTATCTGGAGAGGCCTTAATTAGACTTTACAACAGATTTGCCTTCTAAAAAACTTCTTCTCTGAATTGGCAGCCACCATATTTGAATGGCTGATCATTCAAAACTCAAAATTAATTTTGAAGAAGATGAAGAAGAAGAATTTCACTGCAGCCTCACAATCAATCAGGTGGAGACGCGAGAAAGATCAACTTCAGGTTGGACACTGTGCAAACCCATATTGAAACTCTTCAGGATGGTTAAGGGAACCTTTGATGACCAAAGTAATCATGTGTTTGAGGTCTCATTCAAAGAATGGCACCTCCTACATCACAGCATCCTTAGTCTCCATACGGGGGCAGGTATGAGCAGAAAAATGAGCAAGAACACTTTCCTGGCTTCTGAAAACTGATCATTTTAGGCTACAAGCTGGGAGTCCCTGGTTTCCACACAGCATTTATGCTGCACTACTGTATGGTTTACTTAGAGTATTTGCAGCTCTTTTAAATTAAACTGTCACATTGTTTACACTATTTTTCCTACATGGGAGGTCAATCATCTATTTCACAAATGAGTAAAATAAAATGTTGTAAATCATGCATACGAAACAGCGCTCCATACTTTTACCACTAAAAAGCAACATATTTGCATTTAACTACACACACACATCCAGCAATAATAATTATTATTTTATATAGTGCCTTTCATGGTACATCATCTGAAAGTGCTGATGTACTATATGAATGACATTGTGCACATTTACGGCATGTCAATGAAATTCCCATTAAGACAATGAATGACCCTGTTCCTGCCATACTGGGTGTGCACATTTATAATTGAGCTTCCCGGCATTAATCTTGCTTCTGTCAGAAGAGCTCACAGCTGACGGCTGCAGATCAGCACACAGCAGCCTGAACGTCTTCAGACTCAGCCTGGCACTTTGTTTTTAACACTGTTGCAAGGGGTTGAGCTTTTTCAGCAAAAGTGTCTCAGGAATCACTCAGATCCACAGAGAAGGAGGCGACTAGGATGAAGGATAACCTTTCTATAACCTTTTTACATGTTGAAAGAGCATTTCTGCACTGACTTATTAATTTCGACAAGGTCACCCTTTTCATTTTAATTCCAGATTAGCAGTGCCAGATCGTGAACTTTGATGTAGAAAATGTGCATATGAGAGCAAATTTCTAGGCCTGCTTGTAAAATATTAGCAAGAGTTTATTGATGTATTATTGACATTTAAAAAAAATGTCTATGTATGCTGTGCCACATAAGAAGCACAGTAGGCAGTAAAAGGTAATTTACATAGTGGCTAAGTTAACAATAAAGGCAATGTGGTAATGACTCCTTTCCTAAAATACTGTACCTTTATTAATACAATGATTTCTTTTTTCCTGGTCTCTTAACCAGAGGAGTTAAAAGCTGGTGTCTTCTTTGTATTAATTTATTCCTCTGCCTTCATCTTCCATGTGGGCAATGAAAATGTGGATCATATATGTTGATGCTGATGAGAGCTGTGAACGAAACTCTTCGGACTGAAATTACCTGTAGGAAAACTTCAGCAGTGTGTCTGCTGTGTGCTTCACTTTGTTAAACTCACTTGTTAAACTGTTTAAACATTTTAATGAAGCGTGGGGGCAATCTGCCCCCAGTGAAACTTCATGATCACTTCACCTCACACTGAAAATGTAATAATATCAGAAAGGTTCGCAATTGGCCCATTTTAATATTTTGGTAGTTAGTAACTACTGCAATTAAGCTGAGGATCTCACCCAGCCATGTTTTGATAGAAGCCATGGTATCAGCTTCAACAACATGGGTATCCTGGCTAGCCAGTTCCACACTCCCTCAAACCTTGAAACCCTCTAGTCTTTAAGCCACAAGCAAGCACCTGAAGCCCATAGAATGGAATTCCTAAGGCCAATGGTAAGGAACGGGGGGAAGTCACTTAACGAATCAGTAAAACCTTGTGTGAAGCCTGAACAAGGTTCTGGACACCTTTTATCACTGAGGAGCTTGAACCAATTCAACAACATTTTTTTATACTTAAAAGCTGTAAGATGACAGACACACCAGCGCCCAGTTGTGCAACTGATAAGTCCTCTTTGAACCGAGATGTGGCTGTGAAGAAAAATTCACAATTAATTATCAATTCACAATTAATTAATTATCTGGAAACATCTGTATTTTGCTCAGCCCGGGTAATACTTTCACAGGTTTCCTGACACTTTCAAGCCTGACCTCTAATGCTTTGTCTTTTCTTGGCAAATATAGGCCTTTGTTTCAGTGTAACTTAATTATACACAGCCCCACCCTTAAATATAAGTATTCATGGAATATGGAAGTGGGGCAGGTGGAGGCTCCATTTCCAATAGTTTTTCCTATTCTTGCTGAGCATTAACTTTGTAGAACCTTATTGCTTTTACTGTAGAACTAGCTAGCCTAGATATTTCAGGAAATTAAAGCCCAAAAAAGGATGAAGTCATCCCATTCAGCTCTTGAAGAAGATCCCAATGAATTAAGCTTCTTGCTTGTGCTGTTTGCTGAGGAAAATGTATTTTGTTAACCTTATATACTGTATGTATATTAGTTTACATCTCACACTTGCATATCTTCATTAGCAGCACTGTACTCTTTGAGAAGGACTCACTGGAGCAGATCAGAACACAAGCTCACTGCAGAACACTTTCTTCTACTACATACTTTGTCTACTTCACTGCTGCAGCAGGTTGCATCTTATTTGCTGTGCTTGTCTGTACTGTATCATGATTATCTGAGAGCCTATTTGTTTTTAAGTTTATGCTGTATCCTGCAGTCTGTTACACAGTACTTATAATTGCTCTCTTACTTATTTACAGTAACCTGCATTTTTACATTCCAATTTACATACTGCGATTCCACTCTTAACTGTAAGTCACCTTGGAAAAAACTGTCAGCCAAACTAATAATAATGTAAAGCAAAAAGGGCCTTTTTAGTGGACTCTGTGAAGCAGCATTTGTCTTACAAAGGATTTTTCACTCTAACTGAAATCCCATTATAATGTAAAGGTGTGTTAATTGCATGAAATGACCTTCAGTTCGTGTCAATCATTTATCAGATTCACTGATATAACAACTTCCTGATATTGAGCTGTTCAGTTGTTGCATCAATAGAGCGCTCATTTAAAATTCATGACCTCAGCTCATTCAAGTTGCAAAGTTTGCAGGAGTGAACCTACAGTAAGTGTTCGAGGGCTTTTTGTAGCCCATGAGCGGAGAGTCGTAAGATTTAGTGTCAGTGGATGCCCTTGTTTATAGTCTTAATCATTGGCTTTGCAAGCAAAATCAGGCATTTTCACAAATATGAGCAGGAGCATGTCTCCCAGTGACAGTGTAAGCTGTGGATGTCACACCATGTCATGAAAAAGAATGATCTGAACCTCGGCTTTGCACAGATGAGCAAGATACATACAGTACACACATCATACAGTATGGTCAACCACAGAAAATAAACTTGCACCTTTCAGCAGTGAATACAAATGTTCTGACAGCTAATGATACTGTTCAGGAGAAAAAAAAGAAGGTGCCTCTTTTCAAAAGGTCACATAACAAAATTGATATACTGCATTTTAAAAGTGTTATAAAAGACACTTTTATTTCTACGTTTTTTCAGAATCTCTTTCAGTGTTCTGAAAATGCACAAGACACCCATATTGATGAAGGAACACTCACTCCAAAAAAAAAAGTCCACACCGACTACATGCACGGTTTCTCTTGTTGACAAGTCTGGCTTTGAAACTGGAACCGCTGACAGAGCAGGTCCTCTCCCGATTCTGCAGGGAAGAGGTCCAATTGTGCCTGCTTGGTTGCCAATGATTATTCTTACTGCTGCAATTATAAAATGAAAGGATTCAAAACAATGGCAAGTAATTAAAACCAAACCGGCCTAAAAGTGTTCAAGCTGCTGTATCTCTGATTCTGCCAATAGGCAGGGGTTGACAGCATGACGCCTGCATTTACCGCTTAGTGCGGTACAACTGCCCTACAAGAAAGGCCTCACAACATCTACTTCATACAATATCCTGGCTTTTTTTTTTACTTCGAAAAAAACCCTCCCTGGAGCTTGAAGAACATCTGGGAGAAGTAGTTCAGGTGGTTCAGCATGCGTAGTGTGCAAAGGAACAAGTAATAGGTTTATTCCAAGCTGAAAAGAGAAGGAAGAAAACACAACGTTTCGGCTGTGGAGCCTTCTTCAGGTGTGAGAAAGACAGGGCAGACAGCAAAGATTAAATATGGCCTGTGGCCTCTCTGCCTCTCTGCCTCTCCTCTCTCCCAGCTTTTGTTCTTCTTTGCTATTTAATCTTTGCCGTCTGCCCTGTCTTTCTCACACCTGAAGAAGGCCTCGCCGCCGAAACGTTGTGTTTTCTCTCTTCTCTTTTCATCTGGGAGAAGGCTGACCTTCCGGCCCCAGGGGCTTGCAGGCACTGGGCTGAGCAGACGCTGGGGGAGTGCAACGGCACAATAAGAATCAGCCGCTCACCCTTCTGGGCTGGCTTCCTCTGCTGCCGAGCTCAGTCCCTCCCTCTGTCAGGCAGCCTGAATAGGGTACATCTCGCTCACTGTGTACGACAAGAGCTAATCCATCCTGTGATGGCAAATTTCCTTAATCCACATCCCGGAGGCGAACGCTGGGGCGGTGGCACTGGGAGGATTATTTCTCCTAATCCACCGCAAACACCGGCCACCCCCTCTCCTTAAGCCCTAGAGCACCAGGAAAGGCATGAGTGAGGAAACGGGGCTGGAGGAGGCGTCTTTCCTGCGCAACGCCAGAGGTTCTACACATGTCCGGAAAGAGTGAAGATGGCTTGGTATGAACGCATTTTAGTATTTAATTACAGATGATCTCAACATCTGTACTAAAAATAATACAAATAGTTACCAAGAAGGATTAGTTAAATGAGGACAGAATGACAGATGCACAACCCCAACATGCAAACAGACCTACTGGAAGTAGGTAGGCAGACTGTAGAGATAAGTTATTCTCTTATTGTTTATGGAGGGAGTTAAATGCAGCAGAATAATGGGTATAAATATTCATACAGTATCTCTTCATCCAATCACAACACTATAGGAGATGGAAGTTTACTTAACTTGTGTCTTCTGACTTCTGAAACCAGTGACATTCACATATACTGTATATACAGTATTCACAAAAACATACTGTACGCATGCATATATACACCTGTACCACTAGTCAGTTAGCTACACCACACTGATCAGCCCTAATAACAGTGACATACTGTACTGTAGCTGTCTCTGGCTGCTAACGGTTCATGTGTAAAAAGGCCGAAAGTAAAGTCAAGAGACACTTCCAACTCCTACTGCATTGTAACTGAAAAAAGACCTAATTAATATTCATATCTGGAATTCATTTATTGATATTATAACGCACCAATTGACAATTTGTGATAGCTTAAGAGAAGGCATGGAGCTTGTGGGATAAACGACGGCTTCAGCACAACTGATATTAAAGAAATTAACTGCTCCTTCCATTGCTGTAATTGCTATTAACTACTATTCCCCTACTGTGATTTGTAATAATCAGCAGTGAACAGACATGGCAAACTGTAATTGCTGCAATGTTTGATTTTCATTTAACAACTATTATATTAGTAAACGCTTTTTTTTTTGAGGACGTGTGTGGAGGGGATTGTCTACAGTACTTCAGGGTTGCTAGCTGTCTGCATGATAAGAGTAAAGGAACTGGGCTGCCTTTTGTTTTGATTATACAGATCAGCAAGATACAGACAGCTTTTACAAAAGAATTCAAAGTTCGACTGAGGAGCATAATCTCTAAAACAGAAGTGACAAAAAAACCTCAGTTCGTGAAAACCTTTGTAAGTATATTTTTTGATCCTCTTGAATATGAAAAGAAGGAAGCACACACCTTCCACTTGGACGTAAGAGATGCCGTCACTCATGTTTGGAGTTGAAAAAGGCTGTTGGCCAGTGCTGAGAGCTTTGATATCTGTCTCTAAATTTCCTAGGTGAAATTAACAACAAACAGTACAAACAGGCACCAAACTGGCTTGTTTCCCTCTCAACATCTGACAGCATTTATATTTCGCCTACTAGGGTATCATTTCTGTTTTAACCTGCTGCAAACACAAGTCAACACCAGCGAGAGGTTACCAAATGTAAAAGATAAGAAAAAAGCAAAGGATATTTAAAAGATTGGTTTGATGCAGAGGAAATATATATTCGTGCAGTGAGAAATTACTTTTTGTTGCCATATTCTCCTGCACCCCATACTGTTGACTCACTGTTGAGCCCTGCTTCAGTTCTGTTTTGTCTTTATGCCCTCAGAGCACACACTGTCATTTCTCTTGGCAATATAAACTCATAAGTGGTCCAGGCAACAGCTCTGAATACACTTGATGATAGACTACATAACTCCTGAATATTAAAAATTGTTTACTCGCAAAAACTTCATTAAAAAGGCCACTACTCAATCGAGGCCACTACTCAACTCAACTTTTTTTTTCTTTCAGGACTGGCGATTCCTTGCTTTGCATCTCAGTCTCAGCATTTTATCAGCAAAATTTATTACCTGCTGTATATCTGTGGCAACCCACTGCCAACTATAGTTTGTTCTCGTAAACAAAGAAAATAAGCCTGACTTTCAGTTTATGGTATTTCCATGAGCAGAGGCTGTTGGAATGTTGTTAATGTATAATTGAACTGTACATAAACAGTCTTGCAGCTGTCTGTTTTAAGGTTTGGAAAGTAAATTTTGAGCAACACTACATTACATTAAATTGCTATCTGAAAATAATAATGCAATGATATAATTTCTGAATTTTTCTTTAATCAGAGTTACAAAAACAAGAAAATGCTTTCTTACATCTGTCTTAAACTTTACTTGGTACCAGATCCGAAGCTCCTTAGTATATAGCTGTTAGTCTAGAAAATTGAAAAACCTTAAAATTCAATTACATTTATACCACACAAGGTCTGGATTTCTAAAAACGTAGTGGAGCAAGAGGCTAAACATTTCTCCAACACAATACGGTATGGCTGCCGTGCTTTGAAACTGTGGACCATCCAAGAAACGATTTAAGACATACCATAACTGTTTGCTGTTTTGTCAATGAAAACAAAAGAGAGAATTAACATAGAACATGCACATTTCCTTGCAGGGAAAGTAACCTTTAAAAACCTAAAAACACAGGAGAAGGTTTACTCAGTGTCATAATATCTCATTATACTGCATCTCTTCAATCTCACTTTAAATCAACTTTAAAAAGGTTCCTCTTGTCAGCAAGGACACAATTGCCCCATCTAATACAATTTACTGATTCATTTGATTATGTGTTTCTTTATAGTAAATTGGTTGTGTTGGCTGCATCAAAGGGTCACAACAAAAAAGCATTTATTCAGCACATTTCTTTGTGACGGATCTGGTGTGCTTGACCAATGGCTTTATGCACAGCCAGACAGGAAGCTTGAAAATTTAGTTGCCTGATGAAGACCTTTGCACAACACTCTTAAATACTAATCTACTGTATATCAGAATGATATTTGATTGGCCAGGGGACTGAATACATTCGCTGTATTTGGAAGAATCCATTCCTCTGTGAAAGAGAGATGTTCACCTTGGTAAAAAAAGGAAACTGTTCATTGTATCCTGAACAAAATATGGAGATTAAATTCATCACTCCATATTCTAACTGCTTCATCTAATTCAGGGTCAGTAGGTGCCGGAACCTATCACTCCAAGCAATGGGAAAAAGGCAGGGGACACCCTGGACAGAATGCAAAACCATCACACAAGGCACACACAGACACAAACAGACATGCACTCGCACAGTTTTCCCAGAACCCAACTGACCTAGCAGTAGATGGTCCGATTAAAATTAAAGTGTAAAATAAAAAAAAACATAAATGGTATTTAAGTCTGAAAAAAAGCATAGAAGGTGTTTCAAAAATACAGCCCTTCTGAAACCTATTGAGCTGATGTCACAGAAGGGCTGACAATATTCACGAAGGTCGTTCATGACATGATTACTGCCTGACATCCTCCTTGTCATCTGTGCTCAGAGCACAATACGTGTGTGGCAGTGCTCAAAGCTTTCATGTCCATATTCTGTATTCCGCTACACAACTGTCTCAGGTCTCAGCAGCACTGCGTTTTCAGCACGATCATTTGAAACTCATATGGGGCGTTTTAGTTCAATTTTATAAAATAAAAGGGAAAAAAATGCATTCTTTAAAGTTTTCTCAGAGAAAGCAAAAAGAAATGAGAAATTTACCAAAGCTGCTGCAGGTTATACATCACAGAAGTGCCACAGATTTCTCCAAGATTTCTCTGGTTTAAATACATTTTCTACAAGAAACGAGGTGGGACCGAACTATAGGTTTACAAAATGTATCAATGAAAACCTCTCATCAAAAGGGAATGACTGCAATTAATGCACAATTAATATTTTTGAAAGATGGAAAATGTGGGCATTTAACAGTCCTATAGGGAAGGATTCTCAAGGATCATAATTGTGGGCTATCCTGGTTCTAAATTGTCTGGATTGCGATAGCTGTGTTCTTTACAGTGGCCAACTGCACACCGCATGGAAGTGGCACTCCTTCCTCAAAGAGGGCTGATTAATATGCCGGATGAGCGCTGCAGTCCATATGTCACGAAACCGGCTTCCATGAGTTATTTAATCAAACTTACGTTACCACAAAGTTAACCCTTCAGAAGAATGCCAGTGTGGTGCCTTCCATGCTTCTGTGTTGTATAACTGATAGATTGTTTATACGATTAACAACAGTAACACTTAAAACACTGAAGGTGTTGGTGATAGTTTCTGCTAAGCATCATTAGGAACACGTATACATTGAGATTTTAGAAGTACCTTGTTCAGCTGTTATTCATAGAAAACATTCAGCCAGATTTGAGATATGTTTATGGTTATTATATCAAACTTTGAAAATGTAATTTTTATTAGTAGGGTTATTATCGTCACCATTACCGGTATATTATATTTTGTATACATACCTAACAGCCTCTGATACATTAGAAAATCATTGACAGTTTCACACATTCCATCACAAAATCAATACAATATTGAAGACATCAACATTTCGCCATTTCGCTCCTATAGTGTAAGACTGGAACAGTTTAATCTCCGGGTGCTGGGAGAATTCTCCTATTATAATGGTCGCACAGGTCGATAATTCTGTATTTGTCATGTAATGTTAGTCAACACTCTTCTAGAAAATCGGGCCAGATGAAACCCTCAGCACACGTGAAGTCATTTTCAGTTATATCACTTTCTTCCATTGTTTACACCTGTTAGAAAATCTCTCCCACACACATCTTTCAGACAAAAATGTTTTTACCTATTTCAGTTTAATAATTTCATTTTGTCTGAGCTGACAGGATGATGAAATACCATAGGTATAGCATTGTGGAATTATGAGCAGAGGTCATTACGAAAGCTGTACTGTCTAACAGTCATTGTTACATACTATATGACAATACCAGTTTGCTTTCAGTATCTAGCAGATGAAAGCAGAACCATATGGACACATTCAGGTTTCTCTTTTGAATTTTTTAATAGAAAATTATAATTTACTTGGTGCTTCCCAAATGAAGCACTAGGTAAAAGCTCCCATATGAACTCTACACCCCAGAGATAGCCAGTTCAAATCTTTCATGCATTACAAGCTGACTGAGGGCACCATGAAAACCTGGGAAATCTTTGGCTTATTATACACCAGCAATCCCGTTTTGCTTATCAAGTTCCTGCACATTTGTAGCCACATAAGTGAAGTTAAGAGGTCACTGTCAGAATCACGATGCTGTACCCAATTAAATATAGGAGGCTGGATGGTAAAGCTGTGATAATGACAATGCTAAACTAAGAGAACTGTAAAAAAAACACATTTGTTTTGTCTATTCTGGAAAATATGAAGGCAATGTGTTGTTTAACTAACCTACAATCAGCAAGTTAGTAGGGTTTAGTACATACTATGATATAATTAGATTTCTAGAAGACTTTTTATGAAGGTTAAAAGGTAAAGCATTAAAAAAAGGAATAAAAGGTCATGTATACACACAGATACAGGACTGGTAAACAAAAAGAATTTGGCGGTAATAGGGTTCACAAATTGGAAAATTTAATTTTAACAAGTGCAAAGTGATCCATACAGGTAGTATGAACATGTCACACTGGGAATTCTGAACTACAGAAAGCTGCACGTAAAAGAGATCTGGATGTTTATGCTATGAGGTCTACAATGGGTTTATATAGTTAGGACTTCTATGTCCTGATGTCCTAATCAATAACAATGTGGGAAGCAATGACAGATAAATAGAATGGTTTGGTATACAGCAGAAAGTGCAAAATTTAAATCAAATGAAGTTATGCTCAAATTTTACAATGCACTAGTAAGACCTCATTTACAATATTGTGTTCCGTTCTGGTAATCACAACACAAAAACAATATTTTAGTCTTAGAACACGCAATAAAAATAATTCCTGGGCTCAGGTAATTTAATCCAAAAACATCAAATAAATAGTGTAAATAGTGTGAAATCAGGGGACTATTCACAACGCAGTAGACAAACAACGACACATGGTCACAATTCAAATTTAGGGTTGCAATTGAATATATTTAGGACAGAGAACAGAAAGCATGTCTTTACACAAAGAGTGTGGGGTGGAAGGAACAAAGCAGATTGAGGTTTAATCTGACATAGCATTAGGAGCATTAACTAAATTTCCCTGGCTAAATTTCAGTGTGGGCTTTACACTATCCGATCTAATTAATCAAATTCAATTGGTGAAACACAGCAACTTTTTACTTCTCCTCATAATATGCTGCAGCTCATGACAAAAGTTGATGCCGCACTTCATTGGTGGATGAAATGGGTCCTCTCCTATACATGAAGCATGTTAGGATTAAAGGCAAAGTCCACACCAGAACCACAGCAGCTCATCGGGCTAGAGCTCAACCAGGTTTCCGCAGTGTTAAGCGGATGAGAGAACATGCGACTCTCCCTGTACATTATAAGAATAACCCCCAAGCAATGCTGGTCCCCACTTATACAGCTGGGTGACCTAGAGGAACTGGTGTAAAGTACCTCACTCAAGGTATAGCAGTAGTGTCTGCCAACAGAGACTAAAAACCTGTCAGTCATGAGTGTAGGGGCTTAGGCAAGATGCTCTGCTATCCAACTTTGGAAATGCAAAGCACTGTACAGTACAAATGCAAGGAATCAAGTTTCAGGACTGATGCAGCAGCTGTGGGTTAAAGTAAAAATAATAATAATAATAACAACAACAACAATAATAATAATGAGAATGCTAATAATAATAATAATAATAATAATAGAATTAAAAGATTTAAGCATGACTTGGCTTCCCAAATTAAAATACCAAGCTTAACAGCCAAAATAAAGGTGATACTTGTTCTTTTCTACATTTAAAACCAAATTTAATAAAGACATACTTGGGAACAATTATTTTAAATTAGTATTTGAACAATAAAATGCTGTTCTATACTTCAAGCAGTGCATGGTGTGGCTAATGTGTGGATGTTTTTGGACTACAGTTACTGTGTACAACCTTATTATATTTGAATAAGCAACAATTTTAAGCTATTTATTTTTTACTGCTATGAGAAATTCCATCCAGAAAGTAGCACGTATACCAGACCTTCGCCTTCAGAGAAAACAGTTTCCTAGTAAAATACTGTGTTCTGACAAAGTCACTTACAGTATACCCTAAATTGTACCCTACTCACATGAATTCTGCCAGCA